CTGGGCTCAAGCACGTCTCCTACCTCAGCCTCCCAAGCAGCTGGGACCACAGGCACCCGCCACAACGCCCGGCTATTTTTGGGTTGCAGCCGTCATTGTTGTTTGGCGGGCCCGGGCTGGATTTGAACCCGCCACCTTAGGTGTATGTGACTGGTGCCTTAGCCGCTTGAGCCACAGGCGCCGAGCCCATATCTTGTATTCTTAATATTAACTATCTCCCTTCTTGGCTCTGGACCCAGGCCAAAGAGAAGTTTCCAGGCTATGCTCAAGGGAAGGACAACTCAAGGACCTACAGGTGAGAATTTATGGCCCTGCTAGGTATGACATCTACCCCTTTCCCCTTGCATGGCGGGGATTCAAGAGCAAAGAACCAACTTAGGAAACACTGGCAGTGTGGAGAAGACAGCTGTAAGAATGCAGAACTCACAAATTCTAGGAATGGATTTCAATCTTCCTCTCCCTCCCCTATTTCCCATATGGACACATCTAAAACAGGGTGGTGACCTTCCAGGTAGGGCCCCAGGGATGAGGCTATCGTTGCTCAAAGTAACCCTGGTCCTTGTCAAAGTCCACAGCACATTTCTGCATTATTGTCAGTGAGGGTTTCACCCTTTGAGGAAAGACCTAGACGTGTAAATCTGGACGTCACACCTGTGTATGAGTAATCTGCTCAGCAACTCACAGTTTGCAAAATATTTTAATATTCGCAATCTAATCTTTGACTGCTGATTGCAATGCTGTACAGCAAGATGGTAATCCTCTGGTTATATACAACATTGTTAGCAGAGACCCAGAGCTAGAATCTATTGCTCTGGATTCCAAGTCCTAATTACCTTGGCACCACCTCCAAGGGGACTCTGCAATCTGACAGACAACATCAGTGGCGTTATCACTAGTCCAGCAGCATAGCAAAGGTGTAGAGAAAACACAGTAAACGCCTACAAAAGCTGACAAGGTATTTTACCCTCTCTGAGGCTCGGCTTTATAGCACAGTGGCTCAGAGCTTCACTCTGGGGTAAGAAACAACCAAATCCAAATCTCAACTTGACAACTTATTAACTACACGATCTTGGGGAAATTATTTTTATTCTGTGGACCTCAGTTTCTTAAGGCATAGTCTAAAGATAAGACTATGTAGACTTCATTAGATTGTGATGAGGATGATGCATGTGAAGTATTTTAGAAGAAGCTTAACCATATACGTGTGTGTTTCACAGGAAGGGTTGGCTTTTGCTAACAGTATTAACCGCACAAAATAAATAGTGTCAATCAAACGAAATTCTACTTGGCAGAAGTTTCTGCTGGTTTTACCGGCTTCTACTTGGTAGAAGTCTCTGCTAGCTTGGGACAAGGACTCTTTGGCTCGGATGTCCTATGACACTTGTAACACGGGAGGGACGGGACTGAGCACGGCAGAGTTGGGGCGCTTACCGCGAGGATGGCGATGACGATCCCCACAGCGCAGAGCACAGCGTCGTTTATTGTCTCCCCGGTTTTCGGCGGGTACTTGATGCTGTCGTCGTTACAGTAAAACCCTCGGTGGTACGGCTTGATGGTGCTCGTCTCGATGATAAGGAAGGGCAGGCTCGCTGGTCAGGGTGGACCCGTGCCATGCAGCAGAAAAGAACACAAGGGGGGGGGAACCGTCAGTGCGGGGAAGCCAGAGAGGGGCCGCCCACAGCAGAGGCCTCAATAACCCGGGGGGGTCGGGAAGCCAGAGAAGGGCAGCCCACAGCAGAGACCTCAATAACCCGGGGGGTCGGGAAGCCAGAGAAGGGCAGCCCACAGCAGAGACCTCAATAACCTGGGGGGGGGGGGGCATTCGTCCCTTTCATTTGTAGCAAGCTGCAGCCTAGAGAGCTCCTGCTACACGTCCCTTCCCCCCTCTCATCACCAGGCAGGGACGCTGTTCTTTCTGCTGCCCAAGAGCTCAGAGGGAGGCAGTGAGGAGGGAGTTTTCCTTCTGCTCTATAGCAAACATTCAGCTCAAAATTAAAGCCCTTTTCATAATAATTACTAATATAACCCTAAATCGAATGATGTCCCTTACATTTCTAAGGTCTTAATCGTCTCTCCTTTGAGAAGTCTGAGGCTGTGCTGTGCAGCCCGAGAGGCAGATAACCTAGATTTGAACTGAGCTCCATCACAGCCTGACGACGATGGTGTGATTTCTGGCTCCCCGGGGAGCCTCCTCCACCCATGGTGAAATGAGTTGTGGTGATGACTAAGTGGGATCAAAGCACCTGAAACCTAGAGCACGGAAGCTGGCACATAGTAGCTGCTCAGTCAATGCCATTTCAAGCACTTTCTTTCACTCTTCAGAGAGTTACCAACAAGACTGAGCAGAGCTAAGCTCAACCCTGCTGCCTGCAGACCTGGACAGGAGCCCTGGGGCAGCAGGGAGCACCAGGCAGCTCTTGCAGCTGCTGCCGGTTATCTGTGGCCAGCGCAGATGCCATTCTCTCAAAGGTCATGGCAAATGGAGTCCACCTCCTGCCAGGAAGAGTCCTCAAAACCCTGACACAAAAAGGGAAGGCCTACATGCTGGGCGCCTGTAGCTCTGTGGTTAGGGTGCCGGCCACACGCACTGGGGCCAGAGGGCTTGAACTTGGCCTGGGGCCTGCTAAACAAAAATAAGGCCCGGGCAGTGTGGTAGGCGCCTGTAGTCCCAGCTACTGGGGAGGCTGAGGCAAGAGAATGGCTTGAACCCAAGTGTTTGAGGTTCCTGTGAACTATGATGCCGACAAAGTGAGACTCTGTCTCAATTAAAGAAAAAAAAAAGGAAGGCCCACAAATAATTCTTGCTTGGACACTCCAATGGCCTCCTCCTCGGTGTTACAGCTCCCACAGTCTCCTATGAAGATGCACCAGTTTGCTCCCTGAAGGGCTCTGCCCAGGAATAAGCCACCGCCTTGTTAAGGCTCCCAATGGCACAGGGGGAGATGACATCTCTAAGGACAGCCGCTGGGTATTTCTCCAGCTTCATGCTCTGCAGCAGCCCCTTTTGCTTATCCTCCAAGAAGACAGTACGCAGAGACTCCACGCTCTCAGAACACGTAACCTTCCTCCCTGGTTCCCAAGAGCAGCCCCAAGCTCTAACGCAGTGATTTTCAACAGGGTGCCAGGAGAGGACCTCAGGTGTGCCGCAACATTTTTTAAAGATCGAAAGAAGTTCAAAGCATAGTACGTAGATTCTTTTTTCACTCTTTCTTTTTTCTTGTCTCTGTCAAGGGACTCTGTCACCCTGAGTAGAGTGCTGTGGCATCACAGCTCACAGCAACCTTAATTAAACACTTGGGCTCAAGCGATCTTCCTGCCTCAGCCTCTCAAGTAGGTGGGACACCCCACCACCACCAGACCCAGTTAAGTTTTTCCACTTTTAGAGATGGGGACTTATTCTTACTCAGGCTGTTCTCAAACTCCTGAGGTTAAGCGATCCACCTGCTTTAGCCTTCCAGAGTGCTGAGATTACAGGCAGGAGCCGCAGCACCTGGCCTTTTTACTGTTTTTTTTTTTTTTCTTTTTTTTTTATCAAGGTAACTTGAGTGTGTTACCAGTTTAACTACAGGTTCAAGTGTGCAGTGAGATAAAAATGACTGAAAAACACTGCTGTAGGGAGGCACCTGTGGCTCAAAAGAGCAGGGCACTGGCCCCATATGCCTGAGGTGATGGGTTCAAATCTAGCCCCGGCCAAAAACTGCCAACCCCCCCCCCAAAAAAAACACACTACTGTAATGCCACCTCACAGAGTATAAGGACTAGGACTTTGAATCTCAAGACTAGGAAGATCACCAAAAAAGATCACCTTAGTGATCACAGCCACCACTGACTGTGCACTCACAATGCGTTGGGTACTTTATATATATTTTTTGCATTAAAGCATCATTTAAACACCACCATCATCCATCTTTAAGTGAGAGAACAGAGACCCAGGGAAGAGTATTTAGCTCATTCAGGACCTCCTAGTCCACCTCCCCCCACATGGCTAAATCCTCAATTTAACTTTGCAAATTGGTTTCATCCAAATATGAATTTCATTAGCTGAAAAACCCCAAGATAAGCAGTTGCTTAAAAGATAAAATTCCATTTTCATGTTTTCCGAAAAGAACCCAATTCACATCATGTTGCTCAAAGCCCCAGACCGCCTCTAAAAAAAATGTACCATGAACTCCACAATTTTTCAATTACTTTGGTCCAGACCGGCAGCGATAAAACTGTTCACTTTCTAAAAAGTGTATTTATGTATCACTGTGCATACACACATGGATTTATTTGGTTTTATTCTTTGGATTTATTTGAATTCTACGGCTATTTATTTTGTGACCCCTAACTGCTTCCTGCTAGAACAACAATTTACTTTATCAAACGCATACTGGTGCTTTGAAAAGAAAGAACAGCAACACACCACGGTATTGTGCCTGACCTCCCCAACGTAAACACACAGGGGCCTGGAAAGGCAATCGCCATTAGGTCTTGAAACCTCCCCTCTGCAGTGGAGGAGGGGGCAGGGC